AATCACCCTGTTTCTTATTGTAGATTTTATGTTAACCAAAGTGCAAATCTGCAGCACAAACCACTTACTTTTAGCAGCCTCCAAATCCCAAAGCCGGAGAGAGCCGGACTGAGAACCGGCCACCACACGCTCTTCAGAACTGTTGAACTGGATACACTCCACAGGGCTGGTGTGGCCTGTCAGACTCTACAGAACAGACAAACACTGCATCAAATAGCTGTGAGACACTTAATTCTCTCAACTAAACAAATAACAGAGAGGGTTTTACCATAATGCAGTTTGGTTTGCTGACAGCCCAGATATTGACTCTGCAGTCCTCGCCGCCAGTGGCCAGCAAACGACCAGACGATTTCCCCAACACCAGTGAAGACACATTGCTGGAGTGAGCCACAATCTCCTCTGAACAACACATATGACAAAAAAAGCCAGTCACATTTCCCACAACTTCAAATGAAGAACCTGACTATTTAAAACATTCTGCTGAGAACTCACGCAGCTTCCATGATGTTATAGTGGTGCTGGTGAGAGCCATCGTGATGATCGTGTGATCTCACCAACACCTATGTCAGGGATGCGACGGTATTACTTTATCTTCTCTGTCCATCTGTTAAAATTAAAGAATTTATTCAAAGACAGACAAACAGCAGAGTAAATATGCTGTGCATAACGATCACTCTAAACTTCAGGACACACCACTTCGCCAAAAGGTGTCCCTTTTCAATCACTTTTGGATAGATCACATTCTGCTATGAGTTAGTGCATGAATACATCTTAAATTATAATTGTATTACATCCAGTTGCCTGTGCCTATAGAGAACAACGTGCAAGAAACCCAAAATCTAAGATTTTTTTTTTTTTACTGGCTTTTAAAACATGTCAGATTTGGGCTAATGTGGGTCAAATTTGATATAGATGCAAGACACAGATAAAAAGTTATTTTTTAAACCATTTCATGAACTTGCTTTTACAGAACTATTACAAAACCCAAACTTCATTTTTTTTTCTCTTGAAAACATCTCAAAACATTTAATGAATGGCTCGGTTATTCTTAACTTCATTTCATCTGAATATCAACATTTATGTAACTTTGTCGAAAGGTCTTTAAGGTTAACTGATATAATTTTGTGTATCTGGAAAATACTGATCTGGGACATTGTATTATGTTGAACATCAACGTTTTTGTGCCTATGCGTTAATGAATAATTTTTAAACGCTAATGTTTTTTTTGTTTTTTTTTTATAAATATGCAGAGTAAATCGTTTTTATTTTTGGAGTGAAATAATAAAATTAGACCTTTGGGGTAAGACTTGAGTATCATGTCGTTACTAGTGCATTTTTTTTATTTTATTTAATTGAATACGTATTACAATTCATTAGGTTACTCAGTTTCGTGAATCAGATGAACATTTCCAACATCGATATGCATTAAACCCTATAGGCTAATTAAGTAAACATTTCATTTTAAATCAGTGTTGCGATTATGACTTATTTTATTTAAAATTATTTTATTATGCTATTATTTAATTATAATATCGGCAACTAAACATTAGTTTATTCTTGCCTGTGTTTAAGTCATAGAACAAAGCATGTCACAGAATAAATGTACATTTCAGACGAATCTCTTTCACTGGGTTTCTGTTTTGTCCTTGGTTATTCAGTTATTATTCAGTAAATTGTAAAATTACAAAGAATATCAGCAAGGAGTGGCTTCATGTCCCAGGTAGGGGGTCATGTTACTTACCCCAATAGTAAACGCATATTGTTCTTTAGAGCTAATAACACCACTTAAAGCAGTTATTCGATGTAAAATCATGTTTATCATGACACAGCGGTCAAATGCAAGGCGTTTATGGACAAAGAGCAGCCAGGTATCGCCGTTTCAAACTATGATCTTTCACGTGTGGCTGAAACCTAACCTTATTCGTCCAACAAAACATTTATGCACACACACGTATCCCACAACTTACATAAAGTCCGAAACTGGTGAAAGATTAAATAAATCATCGACGCATATCCAGTTGAAGTCACTTTGCCACGCGAGTCTGTCTCACAGCTAAGTTAGCAGTTGTAACTTATGTGAAAATTACCAATTTATAAGTGATCAATCTACTTTCGATCATTATCTCTTTCTAACTCTGTTAAAAGCATTACTACGCTATTCTAATAAACATAGTAACAGGTTAAGAGACTCGAACTTGTTTTTGTTGGACAACATTACGCTAAGTTAGCTTCGCAACGTGGCTAACGAACTCATCTGAACTGTAAACAAATATCCAACATTTACCCGATTGTCTTATCTGTTCTGTGATGCTGTTAAAGTCCAGAAACCGTTGGCGTATATTTATGAGATGAAAGTTGACGATAACACACTCGACCGACAAACATCGACCCACTTTATACACTTAAATTTTGCTGTTGTCATGTTGTTTCTGATTGGTTGCTAACTAGCGGTAGCTTAGCAACAGTTCTCCTTACCTTCCTTCTGCTGGTGACGGTCAGTTTGGGTTAAATAGAGACTCGCATGGCTGCAGTCTGCCGACAGACAGATCAGAACTAATGAGAAAAGGATTAGTTTAGGACAAGAAAAGGTGCGCATGCGCAGTGGAACTATGGCCACATTAATACAGTTGTTCTCGATCCTGGTTCTGCAGCAGCCTTCATTTAACACATATGATTTATTAAATCATTTAGCAGAGAATCCAATCTGAAGGTCTGACAAGGAAAACATCCAAATTGTGCAGCACCAGGGGCTATCACGACGAAAAACAACTTCTTGCCAAATTCTCAATAGTTATCATCTAATATATTTCAGGTCTTTAAATACACTACTAAAAAGCTTGTGAGTTGAGTCAGGTGTGTTTGACAGCCAAAGCATGTACTGTTGGGACAGCCCCCAGGAACACTGCCCAAAAAAAAACATTCCACTGTCCTTCGCTCATCCAGGACTGAGCAATGATTATATAAATCTAAAAGAAAATTTGCATCAATATATCATTTTATAAGTTTATTTATAATCACTGGGTCTCCATAAATTTCAGCTGAAGCAACTTTTTGTTTTAAACAGGTTGTCAAGTTTATATCTTCAGTCCATTGAAATGTTAAATTGATGTTGGGCCAGTCAATACTGTGAGGTCATGCTTATTAACAGTTATTCTTGATACTAACCCATCAAACTTTCATAAAGCAGTATAGTTCCATTTGAACAGTTAAAAATATGTAACCAGACAGTCCTTTATTGCCACTCAAGGTCAATTATTTTTATCTTCATCTACTTTGCGTTCCATCAAGGCTGCACCTATAGCTTCACCGGAATACCACGTATCAAAGATTACTACCTTTGATTCAGAATCAGCACATGATTTCCCCCATACTGAACAATCACAGCAATATTTTCTGAAAGGCCGAAGAGGGAATTCAAAAAGCTGAACTCAAGTGCTTTGAAACGTCATGTGGTTGGTGAAGCTCGTTCAGCCTCAGGTTTAAATTGCTGAGGTCAATGGGTCATGTAGCTGCACCTGTTGAAAAGTACTTATTTGCAACTGAAACTAATGATATGAAAGCTCACTATAGTAAGCAAAGGCATTTTGTGTGAGTTTCACTCACTTTATGAAATAAAAAAAATATGTGGAGCCCCACTCAAGAGGCATACCTGAGCTAGAGATTTTAAGATGGACATAAAGTGAGAGAAAGGAACCAAAGGGCTAAAAAGGACGGAGCAGCTGATGACACGTGAGAGAAAGTCAAAGACACTTAACAATGCCCATCTATTGTCTGGACTAACCTGTCATATCAAATATCTCAGAATAATTTAGATTGCATGTTCTTTGTAATTGTATAATACATGTAAAAAAATTAAACACAGACAAGTCTAGAATCTCTTCATCTGTCGTCTTTCCTGTCGCCTCTGTTTCTTGTCATTCTTCTCGTTCTCTTCAGGGGCTGCCTGTGATTCAGCAGAAAACCAGGGGCCCAGGAAGTTCACCCACAATAAATGCAAAGCCCTTGCAGGTGCCTGGTGGGAAGAGAAAGAAAATAATATGATTTCAGTAAAAATGCATTTGTGAAGCCTCAAAGATATCACAATCAGTGCAATTATGCAGTCTCACCAAGAGCCAGAAGTACCAGAAGTAAGATGACAGAGTGCTGAGGACCTGAACAATAGCAGTAAGAAGAATCACATCCTTCAGGTGTCTGCATGTTAATATAAAAAAAGTCAGGCATGGTCATGAGGGGTATTAATCATTGTCTGGAAATATATAACATATAAAAATGTACAGATTAAACATCCAACTCACTCTGCCATGCCCTGTTCCATATTAAGGTCAATCCCTCCATCCAGCAAGCTACCATCTTCAGCAAATGCAGGTTTGGCCATTGCTGACATAGATCTGTAGCTGCCAGTGTAGACCGCCACTGCGAACAGGAGAAAGAACTGGTACAAAGGAGACAAAGAGAGAGGTGAATAATATTTACCAAAAGATTGGAAACCACCAAAAGATTATCATCTCACCCATTTATCACCCATATACAGTGGTCTACATAAAGCATAAGCAAAGCCCTAGAGGTGGACAGATGGACACTATTGTCTTTTAAGGGTTTTTCAAACTGGGGTCGTAACCAGACAGTCCTTTATTGCCACTCAAGGTAAATTATTTTTATCTTCATCTACTTTGCGTTCCATCAAGGCTGCACCTATAGCTTCACCGGAATACCACATGTCAAAGATTACTACCTTTGATTCAGAATCAGCACATGATTTCCCCCATACTGAACAATCACAGCAATATTTTCTGAAAGGCCGAAGAGGGAATTCAAAAAGCTGAACTCAAGTGCTTTGAAACGTCATGTGGTTGGTGAAGCTCGTTCAGCCTCAGGTTTAAATTGCTGAGGTCAATGGGTCATGTAGCTGCACCTGTTGAAAAGTACTTATTTGCAACTGAAACTAATGATATGAAAGCTCACTATAGTAAGCAAAGGCATTTTGTGTGAGTTTCACTCACTTTATGAAATAAAAAAAATATGTGGAGCCCCACTCAAGAGGCATACCTGAGCTAGAGATTTTAAGATGGACATAAAGTGAGAGAAAGGAACCAAAGGGCTAAAAAGGACGGAGCAGCTGATGACACGTGAGAGAAAGTCAAAGACACTTAACAATGCCCATCTATTGTCTGGACTAACCTGTCATATCAAATATCTCAGAATAATTTAGATTGCATGTTCTTTGTAATTGTATAATACATGTAAAAAAATTAAACAGACAAGTCTAGAATCTCTTCATCTGTCGTCTTTCCTGTCGCCTCTGTTTCTTGTCATTCTTCTCGTTCTCTTCAGGGGCTGCCTGTGATTCAGCAGAAAACCAGGGGCCCAGGAAGTTCACCCACAATAAATGCAAAGCCCTTGCAGGTGCCTGGTGGGAAGAGAAAGAAAATAATATGATTTCAGTAAAAATGCATTTGTGAAGCCTCAAAGATATCACAATCAGTGCAATTATGCAGTCTCACCAAGAGCCAGAAGTACCAGAAGTAAGATGACAGAGTGCTGAGGACCTGAACAATAGCAGTAAGAAGAATCACATCCTTCAGGTGTCTGCATGTTAATATAAAAAAAGTCAGGCATGGTCATGAGGGGTATTAATCATTGTCTGGAAATATATAACATATAAAAATGTACAGATTAAACATCCAACTCACTCTGCCATGCCCTGTTCCATATTAAGGTCAATCCCTCCATCCAGCAAGCTACCATCTTCAGCAAATGCAGGTTTGGCCATTGCTGACATAGATCTGTAGCTGCCAGTGTAGACCGCCACTGCGAACAGGAGAAAGAACTGGTACAAAGGAGACAAAGAGAGAGGTGAATAATATTTACCAAAAGATTGGAAACCACCAAAAGATTATCATCTCACCCATTTATCACCCATATACAGTGGTCTACATAAAGCATAAGCAAAGCCCTAGAGGTGGACAGATGGACACTATTGTCTTTTAAGGGTTTTTCAAACTGGGGTCTGCAAAGGAGTGCTACAGGGGCCACAGGAAAGTTTAGAAAAGCAGTTGCAAAAGTGTATAAAACAAAAACAAACATACATATACAAAACAAGATGCAAATAAACACATTTAAATAAATAATACACCTTACATTACTGTATTATAGTGAGTAGGGAAAAAATGTATAGTGTAACATAATACAAACTAAAAAAAAAATTTCCGCAGTATAAATTGGGTCTTTATACATACAAAATACAGCTGCCTTATACATTTTAGAATGGGGGCCCCTCACATACAGATAATTATGGGGAGTCCATGACATCTAAAAGACTGAAAACCCCTAGTCTATTTGCCACGAGCAGATATGCATGCAACATCTGTAAGATTTGCTCACACACACCACTGAATGCAAAAGCACAAAATAGACATATGCTAAATGATGATGCTCTTATTCACACCATACTCTGACTCACCCATGTCCAAAATGTAGACGAATTGTAAAAGAGCAAGAGATTGACTGCTACATAAATAGCCTGAAAAGAATACACCAAATAAATCAATTCAAAAAAATTAAACGCATTTATAAAGGCACACTGAATCTCAGATGCATGCCTTACGTTTGCTCCCAGGATGATTCTGCAATAGAACTTGAGAGTATCCTGGTTTTCGTCATGAATTTGTTTTTTGCCTTTGGTTCCAACTTTTCCTTTCGGCTAAAGAGAGACATATTACTTAACAGGACAGCACTGACAAGCAGAAAATCTCGCTAGTTAGAATATACAGTTATCACATGAATACATTTAAAGACACAGTTATTAATCATTTTTCTGTTTTAATAGCTATTCAATATTGTCTCATACCGCCATCTCCCCTGAGTTCTTCTTCTCGTGCCACTATTTCACCTGATAACGCCTTTCTCTTTAGGCATCTAAAAAACGAACGGATCTGATTATCTTTTAAAGACTAATCTTCAAAACCAAACACATACTAAATAACACCTAAGCAAAATAACACATCAGCGTTCACGAGCACGTTTCCGGCGCTTGGAAAATGCGTCATAGATGCCAAAAAAACTGGACTTGACGCCACCTCGTACAGGAGTACAGCGACTAATTTAAAGCTCTTCATTTTGATTAAACTTGTCTGTACAGTATTCAACGTTTCGATTATTGAGAGCAAATAAAAACGTAACAAGAGCTCATATCAACCGAGTCTGTGCATTTTACACTATTAGACCTTAAATGGGTTTTTAGTCTTCCTCTAAAACAGCTTAACAGATACCAAAAGTATTTTAGGGTACAACAGTACTAAAGGCCCCTCGGGGTGAAGAAAAACGATTTTGTTTCTCCTAAAACACACAAACGCTTGTTTGTCATTATCACTATATATTGCATAATTGTTCTTACCAGAGATCTAAAGAAAATTGCTTTTGAGGTTAGTTTTTAAAAGTTTGACAGTTTTAAAACCTTTATAATTAACAAACGAGAATTTTTGAGATGATTGCATATATCTTAACACAAAAGACTTGATATATGATTAAATAGCAAAAACGATTTTGTTTCTCCTAAAACACACAAACACTTGTTTGTCATTATCACTATATATGGCATAATTGTTCTTACCAGAGATCTAAAGAAAATTGCTTTTGAGGTTAGTTTTTAAAAGTTTAACAGTTTTAAAACCTTTATAATTAACAAACGAGAATTTTTGAGATGATTGCATATATCTTAACACAAAAGACTTGATATATGATTAAATAGCCTAAATAATTTTTCAAGTCACTGCCCAGTAAAGGGTTTTTGAGGTAAAAAAAAAAAAAAAAAGTCCCCCTGCTGAGGGACATAACATCTCCCCAAGATAAGCCAAAGCCTACATTGACTCACAACTCAGTATAGTGTTCAGTTGCAGTTTTCATTTGTTAAATATGCTTACTCTGAAAAATGTTGTCAGCTCATTTCAGAATATCTGATGCTAAAATCTGAACATTGGCTTAATCCCATTTTAACTGAGGTTGTGCCTCAGCTGGAGTAGGTACAGGATAAAACTGGAAAGATACCGATTAAACATAATTTCATTTTCAGTACTATGAAAATACAATTCACTTTAAACTCTCTTGTGCATCTCTAAGAGCACATCTGATCATAAAGCCTCACATGTGAGGCATTATCCACCACCTTATAAAACACTAAAACAAGTCAGCACACACATATGCTGAGGGACATAACATCTCCCCAAGATAAGCCAAAGCCTACATTGACTCACAACTCAGTATAGTGTTCAGTTGCAGTTTTCATTTGTTAAATATACTTACTCTGAAAAATGTTGTCAGCTCATTTCAGAATATCTGATGCTAAAATCTGAACATTGGCTTAATCCCATTTTAACTGAGGTTGTGCCTCAGCTGGAGTAGGTACAGGATAAAACTGGAAAGATACCGATTAAACATAATTTCATTTTCAGTACTATGAAAATACAATTCACTTTAAACTCTCTTGTGCATCTCTAAGAGCACATCTGATCATAAAGCCTCACATGTGAGGCATTATCCACCACCTTATAAAACACTAAAACAAGTCAGCACACACATATATTTCTTCATATATTATTTTCTTCATATATTATAAGAAACTACACTAGACTATAAATACAGCTTAGTTTTGGTCACCAGAATAGTTTGTATTATTTATATTTAAACAAAAAAAATGTTAATGCTACACAAACTTGGACAATGTCATTCTGCATGTTTACATAATGAATCTTTAGGAACAACTTTGTCAAGAGTACATGGTGACATTGACCTCTGGTGGAAGTAGCATTACCTTGTCATCCATATTGTTAATTATAGCTTACCTTTTCACCTAAATAGTCTGTGTTTTCCAACTCCTGTTCAAGGAAGTTGAAAAAGTTCAGCAGAGTTTAAAGAAGGAGTTTTGTGAGCATGCGTATCAGTTCTCTGTCTGCATTAAATAGCAGGTTTCAGACGGGCCGTCCAGTAGATCAGTAACCATGTTGACCGCACTTGTTCTGTTGTGTCTCGGAGCCTTTCTTCTGTGCTTGCAGTTTAGAATTCGGCGACCCAAAAACTTCCCCCCTGGACCCACTCCTGTTCTGTTTTTTGGAAATTTGCTTCAGCTGGACTGCACAAACCCATTAAAGGACTTTGACAAGGTAAGCACATCAGTCTCAAACACACACTGGAGACTGCTGCATTAAAAATACATTATTATTGGTAGGAAATTCACACTGAAATAATTGAATGGGTTACTGGAAACAAGTGATGAAAGTAAATCAGACTTCTTTCATAAAGTATGACAGCAAAAACATGCTGATGTGAGTCTGTGGTCTTCAACATGAATGTTTTTGTGCAGTTTGCTCAGCGCTATGGGTAAATCTATGGGCTGTTCATTGGTTGCCAGCCAGCCGTGGTGTTGACAGGTCAGAAAATGATCAGACAGGCACTGATCACACAAGCGGCGGAGTTTGCTGGCAGATCAGACAACATGATGATCAGCCATGTAACAAATAGCAAAGGTAATGCAGTTTAAACAAAATGCAGCCAGCTACTCATATACTGTAAGTGCACTGCACTCAGCAGAGAATTTAATCCAAACTCTCCCTGCTGGGCTTAAAGGCTTCCTAACTGATTACTTTGTTTGTTTAGGGGTGATCATGGCAAATTATGGAGAAAGTTGGCGAGAACATCGACGCTGTGCTCTGACCACACTGAGGAACTTTGGCCTTGGAAAAAGAAGTATGGAGCAGAGGATTCTCGAGGAGGTCAAATATATCTGCTCACATTTGGAGGAATCTGCTGGTACATACAATCATCTGTGACACCTTTAATCTTTAGATCAACATAGTTCATTTATGCAATCACATGTTCAGAGTCTAATGTTTAAATATAGACATTTGAATGACCTTAACCAAATATGCCAGAAAATATTCAAATTCAAGAATGGAAAGCATCTCTTTTATCTCTACATCCCTACCAGGAAAGTCAATTGACCCTGAACATCTGTACCACCAAGCTGCTTCAAACATCATTGCCTCAATCATTTTTGGGTCGCGATTCACTTATAAGGATGAATATTTCCAGACATTGATCACAAACATTGAAAAACTCACTAAGATTGTCATTGGACAATGGGCAATGGTAAATACAATAACAAGTAAAGACACTGTTTATTTACACTGAATGCAAATAGCCAGCCTTGTTGCTAAAGGCTATTTACACAAACTCTGCCCACTGTATTACTTCTATTTACATTTTGTGTAAACAAGATGTTTTTTATACTGTAACTGCTATTTGTACTTTTCTTGTTTACACTTACAGTATTGCTGCTGCCAAAAATAAATGATAAAATTAGAGATTGTAGTTTGTGCACAAATGGATAGAATGTTGACAGACATTTAATTTGACGTTTTTTAAGTATTCTCTTTTGAATTGCAGCTCTACGAAATAGCCCCATTGTTAAGGATTTTCCGACTGCCATTCTGCAAGGCTTTTCATTATTTTGCGGGAATTGAAAATCACATTCTTAAAGTTGTGAATGAGCACAAGAAGTCACATGTTACTGGGGAGCCCAGAGACCTGATTGACTGTTACCTGGAGGAGATGGAGAAAGTAAGATATACCCTTAAGTGTTTGTGTGTGTTATGAATTTATCAGCACAATATCAGTTTAATATTCTTTGCTTTACAATGAATTGTTAGTGGATTGTTTTGTTTTCAGAGAGCAGATCAACGCACCACATTTGACGACTCACAGATGGTCACTTTGCTGTTTGACCTGTTTGCGGCTGGAACTGAAACAACCTCAAACACACTCCGCACTTTAACCCTCTATTTGATGACCCACACTCATATACAGGGTAAGGAATGTGGGTAAGATGTGTCGAACCTCTTTATCTTCCTCCCTCTTATTGAGTTTTTGTACTAAAAACTTTTTCACATTTTAAAGTAAATTGTTTACATGCAAAAAGTTTATCTCAAAAAAAAGAAGAAAAAAAAAGAAAGGAATGTCCTGCATTTATTTCCAAACGTGTAAATATTTGTATGAACAAGATCTAACAACTGAGACATAAACTGAACAAGGCATTTGATGAACAGAAATAGAATAATGAGTCAACATAATTCCATTTCTGGAGCAAAGAGAGGGACAGTATCAAAAGTAAGTAAAGATCCAATAAAGATCTGTCGTGCTTATTTGGATTTTACAAAATTATCTTTAAAATAGTTTTCCCAAAAATACATTTTCACAAAATTATACCTGTGGGGTAATGTGTGTTTGGTTGTTTATGGATTATGAATTATGGGTCATGGATTTCCTTATGGATTATCCTTCGATAAATACAGTTTAGGTTCTGGAATGGGATAACGCATTATTAATGAAATGCTTTTATGTTCATATTTTAGTTTTGTGGATTGTTCATAGCATTTAGTCTTTCATTTTGTGCTTGTGTCTTTTAATGTCTATTTAAATACATTTTCAGAACAATGTCAGCGGGAGACTGATGAAGTCCTTGGTGATCGTGAACATGTCACATTTGAGGACAGAAATGCCATGCCTTATGTTCAAGCAGTGATTCATGAGGGTCAGCGTGTTGCTGACATTGTTCCTCTTAGTATGTTTCACACTGCCACAACCAACGCTCAGCTCTGGGGCTACATCCCAAAGGTGACATTTACGAGGATTTATGTATGGCAACAACTTTCTTTACATCATAGTTGTAGAGTTACTTTGGCACAAATAAAAAATGACAAAAGAAAGAGTAACTAAGAACAACAACTATCCATTAATTTATTTAAATCAATCCATAACAGATTATTATTGCAACCCCTAAACAGCAAGGGAGGATTGTTAATTTTGTTAAAAACATTTGCTCTTACAGGGGACAATTATCATCCCCTATCTTTCATCTGCTCTCAGAGAGGCAAGCAAGTGGAAGTTTCCCCATGAATTCAACCCTCAAAACTTCTTGAATGATAAGGGGGAGTTTGTGAAGCCCGATGCATTCATGCCTTTCTCTGCAGGTATGTTCTACAGTGTGATGAGGTCTTTAAATGATAAAAC